AAAAATGACCCTTTGACCCAAAATGGCCGACTTCCTGTTGAGTTTGGCCCAGGGCTCCAAGAGACTTTTTCATAGGTCCTGAGAAGGTACACATGTTCTCCAAGTTTCAGAATTATCGGTCAAAAAATGTCTTGGAGCTGAGGTTTTAAAATATTCTAGGGGGCGCTATGGAGGGTATTTGTCACTTATCATGGCTTCCTGTTCAATGGGTGGATAATGATCGATCATACTGATTTTGGTAAACCTCGGTTCAAATCTGTGGAATTTAGAGCCAAACATATGGAGACTGCGTTACGTCTTACTTTGCCACGTCGCAACGCCCACATGCTCCACCCCAAACTGTCAGTGTTGGAAAGCAAGTTACACCAACATGTCTTCGGTCACTGAACACACTATCATGCTGATCAGGTAACGGGTCAGATAGGGACCGTTCAAGGTAAAATTTTACACTTCCTGTTGTCAGGGGGCGTGGCTTAAGTATTGTCATGATTTTGACCATTCAGTCTTGCAGGGGACTGGATGTGGACCAAACACTGAAGGTTTGATGTCTCAGACAGTTTTCTTGTAGGTGCTATTATCGTTTCGCTTTTCATGGCAAAATGTCCAACTTTGAGGTCTGGCCCCGCCCCTTCAGCATGCTTCCGTTTGCACCGTTTTATAACTTTTCGTCCCCCATGCCTTTTGATCAAAATGGCCAAGTTTGAAAATGATTGAGTGAAAACTCTAGGAGGAGTTTGTTCAAATGCGGAGGCTGTAAACCGCAAAAAAGTTGTGAAAATTGGGACAACATTCCAAAATGGCCGCCTTCCTGTTTATCTTACAATGTTGGTGCCAGAGGTTTTTCTGTGCATCTTGGGGAATTGGACAAGCGTACCAAATTTCTTGTTTCTATGAGTCAGAGTCAGAGATTCTTTATTGTCATTCGCACCTCATGTGGTTCATGTTGTGGAGTGAAATTATGTACACAGGGTCCCAGTTACATCCAACAATAAAATGTATAAGAAAAACAGTAATAACATCTAAGATATGAACTAAGAAAAACATCAACTAAATATACACTAAGCACTCATAACATAAAAACATTGAACATCAGCACAAACATGAACATGAGTCTGTCTGAGCAGATGAGCACACATGAACACATCAACATTGAAACAGATCAGCAGCAACATGAAACAGATCAGCAGCAACATGATATGGTTTTTCACAGTGATTATTCTAGTTAGAGATTCATGAGTCTAACAGCCTCAGGGTAGAAGCTGTTCCTCAGTCTAGTGGTTCTACACTTAATGCTCCTCAACCTCCTTCCTGAGGGGAGTGGGGCAAAAAGTGTGTGTGCTGGGTGAGTGGGGTCCTTCATGATGCAGGTGGCCCTCTTCCTGCATCTGGAGGTGTAGATGTCTGTGATGGTGGGGAGGCTGATTCCAACAGACTTCTGTGCAGCCTTCACTACTCTCTGCAAAGCTTTTCTTTCTGCAGCTGTGCAGCCTCCATGCCACACGTTGATGCTGGAGCACAGGATGCTCTCCACTGCACACCTGTAGAAGGAGGTGAGGACTGAGCTTCCCAGACCAGCTCGCCTCAGCCGTCTGAGGAAGTAGAGTCTCTGATGAGCTTTCTTGATCAGGCTGGTGGTGTTGTTGCTCCAGCTGAGGTTGTCATTCATGTGTACACCCAAGTACTTGTAGCTGGAGACCACTTCCACCGCAGATCCTCTTATGTTCAGGGGGGTGTAGATGTTTTTGTTCCTTCTGAAGTCCACAATCATCTCCTTTGTCTTCTTCACATTGATGTGAAGGTTATTCTCTTTGCACCAGCTCTCCAGGTGTTCCACCTCTTGCCTGTAGCTGGACTCATCATTGTTTGTGATGCATCCCACCACCACTGTATCATCTGCAAACTTTACAATGTGACAGCCTGGATGGGTAGTTGCACAATCATACGTGAGCAGAATAAACAGGAGGGTGCTCAATACACATCCCTGAGGAGAGCCAGTGCTGAGGGTTATGGTGGAGGAGGAGAAGTTGTGGATCCTCACTGACTGTGGTCTGTTTGTTAAAAAGTCTAGTACCCAGTTGCAGATGGAGGGGCTTAGTCCTAGTGTGGATAGTTTGTCCATCGGGGTTTGGGGGATCATGGTGTTGAAGGCGGATGTGAAGTCCACAAAGAGCATACGGACGTAAGAGTTTTTCTGCTCCAGGTGGTTGAGAGCAGTGTGGACCGCAGAGGAGATGGCATCCTCTGTTGATCGGTTCTCACGGTGTGCATACTGATGAGGGTCCTCGTTGAAGATGATGGTTGTTTTGATGCGAGTCATGACCAGTTTTTCTATGACAAACTTAGGTTAATGCAGAGAGTATTTTGAAAATTTCCAGGTGGAGCTCTTGAGGTGTTTCTGTTGCGATTTTTGCCACGCCCTTAAAATACGTATTTTGTCAGCAGTCCTGATGCGTCCGCCAAATTTGGTGACTTTTGGGATCTGTTAAGGCCCCCAAAATGCCAATTCATTTGGTGAAAAAAATTGCAGCTCGGGCCTGAACAGAGCCATTACAATAGGGCTTCGCAGCGCTTCGCTGCTCGGACCTAATTAAAAACGATACAAAAACTATCACATTATGCTATTATGTAGGTATTAGCATACCTTATGATGTACGTACTAATGCTGAATTTTCCATGTTAACCTGAACCTATTAGTGTGATCAGCACTAAAGCAAACTCAGGAAATTAATTATGTAGACTCAACAATATACAGTGCCTTGCGAAAGTATTCGGCCCCCTTGAACTTTTCAACCTTTTGCCACATTTCAGGCTTCAAACATAAAGATATAAAATTTTAATTTTTTTTTGTGAAGAACAACAACAAGTGGGACACAATCGTGAAGTGGAATGAAATTTATTGGATGTGTCAAACTTTTTAACAAAGAAAAAACTGAAAAGTGGGGCGTGCAATATTATTGGGCCCCTTGCGTTAATACTTTGTAGCTCCGTCTCTTGCTGCAGTTCCAGCTGCAAGTCTCTTGGGGTATGTCTCTATCAGTTTTGAACATGGAGACACTGAAGTTCTGCCCATTCTTCCTGCAAAACAGTTTGAGCTCAGTGAGGTTGGATGGAGAGCGTTTGTGAACAACGGTCTTCAGCTCTTTCCACAGATTCTCCATTGGATTCAGGTCTGGACTTTGACTTGGCCATTCCAACACCTGGATACGTTTATTTGTGAACCATTCCATTGTAGATTTGGCTTCATGTTTTGGATCATTGTCTTGTTGGAAGATAAATCTCCGTCCCAGTCTCAGGTCTCTTGCAGACTCAAACAGGTTTTCTTCCAGAATGGTCCTGTATTTGGCCCCATCCATCTTCCCATTAATTCTGACCATCTTCCCTGTCCCTGCTGATGAAAAGCAGGCCCAAACCATGATGCTGCCACCACCATGTTTGACAGTGGGGATGGTGTGTTCAGGGT